TATAAAGGGAGGAGAAACGGGTTTGATCAAGTAGGGAAGAGTTCAAGTTAGGGGATCATACAGAGAGAATATTAGTTGTTCCTGTCCCAGGTCACAACAGGAACTCTTGGATCTGCCATGTATGTGCATTTGTGTGGGTCAAATCTGTGTTTTATATGATGTGTGGCCAAGGGTTCCTGGACAGTGTAAAGACAGGTATGGAATGAGGGCATGTTTCTGTACAGATTGGGCATCTGTCATTGTGAGGATTGTGTTAACATAATGCATAAAATATTTAAAATAGGGTCTAGCCCACAGCAAATAATAAATGTAAGCTATTGTTTATTAATACTATTACCAGTGTTGTTATTGTTATCTTGCACTTGACAGCACAGTTTACATTCCCCCAACAACCACCTCACACAGTGAGTACTGCCCATCGTACAAATGTGTGTTACACTCATTTGTTCCTGGTTCTACCCTGCACTCTAGACTTTTAGTGCCCTAGAACAAGGAGGAGAACTAATTAGAGCCAGGATATCTAACCCTCCAGATCCCCTGATGAACCCTCATTGTACCCTTCCTTCTCTTTACAAAGGGTGGATACAACTTGGCATCCATCTCTGAATCTATGGCTGCCTGCACCCATTCCCTCCTTGGAGACCCACCACCCCCACTTACCTTGCTGCGACCCCCACAGCCAGGAGCCCTGGCCTCAATCACTGAGACCATCCAAGTCCATCGCAAATACTGGCGCAGTTTGCGGCTGATGAGTGAGTGACCGGGTGGTGGTGGGACAGGCCTTTAATCCCAGCACTTGGGAGGTAAAGGCAGGCAGATAGATCTCTGTGAGTTCAAGGCCAGCCTGGTCTATAGCCAAGGCTATACAGAGAAACCTGTCTCGAAGAACCTAAAAAAGTGGGGGGGGGGGAGAAAGAAAAGAAAAGAATAAGAAGAGAGAAACTGAAAACTATAAGGGAATTTAATTCAAAGAAAGGAGGGAGGATTAGAGGCAGAAAGGGGGTGGTATCCACACTCAAGTATCTTTTCCATCGTTCCAGAGATGGAAGACGGGGAAGAATGCTCCAGTTCTAAGCCTTTCATCAAGAAGCCGCCCAAAATGACCAATCCTGTGTCAGCTAAGGGAACGACCACACCAAAAGGAAAGGTTCCAGAAGCAGGCCTAAGGAAGACTACATCCGCGTTATCTGCAAAAGAATGTACTCTAGGCCACACTAAATCAAAGTCAGCCAAGGCAGTGCTTGCTCAGGGCCCGTCCCCAGAACAGGCTGCTAGTGCAGCTCCACCGGACCAGGCCACCTCGAAGGAGACCGAGGGAGGAGCCACAGTGGACCAGCATGCCTCAGCAGCAACCACAGATGTCCCTAACCAGACCGCCTCGGAGGAGGCTGTGGGAGACGAAGCTGAGCCAGTTGGAACCTCTCTAGCCTCGTGTGCAGCAGATAAAGAGAGCACAGAGGCTTCCCCTGGGCAGGGAGCGGCAGCCCAGCAGTCCCCTGAGCAGCCGACGGGGAGTCTGAGCAGTTTGGAGCTAAGCAGTGGCGCTCAGGTAAGGCCTGCCACACCCGGGAAGAGGGTAGAAAGGGCAAGAAGTGGGCACTCTCAGCTACATCTTTCCTTCTGTGTCTAGGAGGCCCCTGAGTCTGAGGAGGGCCTACTAGGAGAAGCCACTGGAGGTCAGAGCATGAACAGCTTGATGCTGACACAGGCATTTGGGAACTTGAACGGCCAGGTGGGTTCAGGGAGAGCCTGGGGTTATGGCTGCTGCTGCCCTGTCTGTCAGCCTCCAGACAGGAGCCTGTGATGTTCGTGGAGAGGCGGAATCCTTTGCTTACTCACTTCTACCTACCCACTCTAGGATGTGTTTTATGCTGTGACCCCACTATCCTGGTGTCCCCATTTGACGGCAGTGTGCCCCATTCCTGCAGAAGGCCTAGATGTGGCCCAACCATGTGAGACCTGTGGAACAGTCCAGGAGAACTGGGTGTGTCTGACTTGCTATCAGGTATGGAACAAAAGAGGAGGGGTATGGGTAGAGATTGGCCCAGCAGCAAACTTCAGCTGGTGCCAGGCAACCCTCACTCTTCCTTCTTTCTTCCCTTCCTTCCTTCCTTCCTTCC